GGGGGGCAGACACAGTCTCTATGGGGTACTGGGAGTTTTGGGTGGGTAGCAGCTGCAAGGAGACAGCAGAGAGGCATGTAAGATTGCGACCCTGCATCCTGGACTCAACTCTGGGTTGTCATAATTTAGGTTGTAAAACAAACTCGTCCAGATTTCTAGATAAGAGAGCCACACCACCCAAAGTGGGATGGATGCCGTCTCTGCTAACCAGACCAGGTTTTCCCCAAAATGTTTTCCAGTTGTCTATGAAGCCCACGTTATTTTCTGGGCACCACTTAGACAGCCAGCGGTTGAATAACGACATGCGGCTAAACATGTCATCACTGGTCACATTGGGTAGGGGTCCAGAGAAAACTACGGAGTCCGACATTGTATATTATTGTTCTTCAGAATAAAGATTCAGAATGTAATATGTGTTGTGTACTTTCACTTCCAAGCAGGCAGGACTGATGCAAGCTGGCTTTCTGCAATTATGTAATACATTTTTATATCACCTTAGTGAAAAAAATATGCAGTAGGGTTTAAATGTTCTACAGACACTATTCTGTTGTTTTACATCATATGGTAATGAAGGTAAAGCATTAACTTTTCATAACCAAAATTCTGTAGTGCATGCATCTATTTTTTTTCTAAATTGTAGGAGCACCTTTGAATTTTACCTGCTCACAAATAACAAACTGACAACTCATTCTTTGCTTGCAGGTTTGAACTTAGAACCATCTTGTAGCAACAGTGCTAATCACTGCCCCACTAATGCCACCCAAAGTTTTAATTAAGAAAAATAAACTAACTTTTATATGTATACTGCTTCTTAAATGTCCATGCAGATTCTCAGTCATCCAGGTCATAGTAAGATGAAAAAACTTACAAAAAAAATCAACTGGACTAGGTTTTAGGTCAAAGATGTTTCACCTCTCATCCAAGAGGCTTCATCAGTTCTGCCCGACTGGCGTTGAGTCAGAGATATTTACCCCCATGGACTGCTGACTCTGGTCCACTGGAAACACCAAGTCCAGTTGATTTTTTTTGTAAGTTTTCTTTTTCAGACTGCTTCTTAGACTTCAAACAACAATGCTTCTGTGTTCAGTGTGGGCTTCTGTGTGTAGAGTAAACTCACTGGTATGCAGAACATGCATCATCTTCTTCCACATAATGAGCTGGAAGGGCCCTGAGAAGTCTGTGAATTCAGTTGGACAATTAACTGGCTCGATGGAGGTGAAAGGCTTACTGTGGATAATTCTGTGGAAGAAGAATACAAATACATTATGCAAAGTTCATTTTTAAGTGATTATTAATGGACTTTTTATAGGTTCATATAGGGGCGTGCGATACATAATTGCTGTCTTAACGATGTGTGAACTGACCTTATCCAAAACGAGGTTTTAGAGTCCACACACTCATTGCCATTCAAAGACATCGCAACATTTGTTTCACTATCTGTGAACTACCCACTGTACAGAATATGAAAAGTTTCAGGAGTCAGCTGTCTGCAGCAGGACTAAACCAGCCAAGGTACCAGTACAAAAGAACACCCAGCAAACATCTGCAGAATCCTTCTGCAAAACAGATTTCAGTATTTGTGTATTGTTGTGCTTGAATGTTTCAGTTTTAATAATGTTTTCCCTTAAGTGTTTCCACTGACAGTAAGAAACAATAAGTTAATACCAAGAGTAAGCTAGTAGCCTATAACATAAAAGTTTATGAAACACATTTTTGAAGGGTGCAAATTATTGTCTGATTATCGGTATCAACAAAATCCCAGAAAATATCTAGATATTTTTGGCACTATCACACACCCCCAAGTTCATATTAAAACTAGGAACTGTAAGCTACTTACGCATTGAATGTCTCAGCAAGGCTCTGTTGGAAGGGGAAAAAAAACAGATTCATAGTGAACACTTGATATCAATATCAGAGAATATTTTTACACACAGCAAGTGAAGGATTTAAAAGGTCCTTAAAACTCACAAGCTTTGCTACATGTTTCTAAAGTTTTAAAATTATGGTTCATGCCAAGAGTCTGAAAAACAAAATGTACCTTCCAGTATACATTTTAAAGTTTTTTTTTCCCCCAAACACATTGGCAGAACTGTTATCCATCTTAACAGTAAAGCAAAGGCGTTGTGAATCAAACAGGTGACACTCTAGACTGACCTCAAAGCTGGTTTTCCCACTGATGTGGCTGTGGATATCAGCTATAGCTTTGTCCACAGCTGCTGCCTCTGTCTCCACAGTCTTCAAGTTGTCGTCGATGACAGCCATGGTGGCCACTTCCTCAGCATCCAGACTCTCGAGCAGGGAGTCCCTCTCATCTAACAAGAACTGGACCAAGGCACCAACATCTGCTTCGATCTTCTCCTTGAGTCTCTGTTTGTTCAACTGGGGGACAGATGTTCAGAGAATTAAGAAGAACTTGATGAAGCGATGTGCCAACAGTGTTTATGTTCAGTGTTAATGTTTCAGAGCATGGTGTTCCCTTATGTTTACAAATCAAGCACTTCATGACTAACAACTAGGCCTCTGAGTTGGTTTGTATTTAAGTGAACTCAGAAAATAGGGTAGAAATGGGAAGCTGAACCAAACATACACTAAATGTCATCATCAAAAACATATGAAAAAAAAAAATCCCATTCCATACCCTCACTTCACTTTTGGTGCGCTCATCCGCTGTTATAACATTTACACATTGAGACTTCTGCCAGTTGAGTTCCATTATCCTCAGTTTCAACTCCAACTGTAACAAACGTATATCATATCAAAGAAAGAGGGCATAACAAAAAAAGAACAAGTGTGGCAAAAGCCATTCAATCTGATCATTTGCTCAAAAATATACACACAAAAGACCTGGAAAACTCAAACATGTAGACTTGCCTTCATGTCATTCACAACCTCTGGCACTGGTGCCACCTCATGGTGTCTGAAACAACAATAAAATAAAAGGTCAGACAGACAGGTGGTTTTCAGAGCAACTTGTCACACCACCTCAAAACACTTAACAGGTAAACTCTAAGGCTGGACCCAGCTTCTGCTAACTGTCACTGTTTCTGGTTAAAATGACAACCAGCAGGGTCATACCAGCTGTCCCTACCTCACTGCAGCTGGTGGACCAACAACACACTGTCTGTCTGTTAGCTGAAGATCATCTATGAGGTAACGAGGCATCATTCTGTAACACCACTGAATAATTAGAGTGAACTGAGTGCTCGCCTGTCCTTATGCACAGAAATACTAAAACCCACTGTTCCATAGCACCAGTAGAGGCAAAAGGATGCATTTTAATGAACTGTGGATGCATGCTTTAGAAACTTACCTCCATTCATGTTGAAAATATGAAAATACATGCTCCACGTAATCTCCTTTTTCATTACTTTGCAATACTTTTGTATTTCCTCACAATAGGTTTTGCAGCTAAGCTTTGTTTCTATAACCAAACTCTTGTTACTGTTCTCAAATCACTACAGTTTAGTGTTTTCATTTTCTTTCATCAGATTCATCAAGCTCAAGAAAGATCAAGATCAGAAAAAAAGAATAATCATAAAATCACTATTATGACCCTTAGGGGGCGCCATAGTTTCAGTAATGTTAAAAAACTGCTCCTTCAAGCATTTTAAATATGAGGATGTGCAGACCTACTTTTATGGATCCAAAAAGAAGCTGCAATTTAAATAGTGCAAAAATTATATGGAAGAGTACACTTATGGTAAACTTTGGTGTTGCTTCTGTTAGGTATTTTTAGTTAGATAGACATTGGTTAGATACTTTATGTATTAGAAATGTTTAGTGTAGACAGGATGTCTAGCTCAGGCTGTTAAATGCTTAGTCATTCTCATGGGGTACTCCAGGTTGTTCAGGTTCAAGGATAACTAGACAGAAAGTTGATTATTGTTAGGAGACAGAATGTTTATCCTTATTGTTATGACGTGTTTAACCATAGTCGTAGTCATAATATTTTCTTATGCTTAATGTCATGTCAGAATGTTTTAGCTACACACCACATAATCAACAGACATTCACACACTGATTTTCTTCATGCTTTGACTACTGCTCTGGCCAGCTGCAAAGCTGGCACCAGGAGACGTCACAGTTTGGCGTCCCGGCGTAGTGTGGAGCTAGCCTGAAGTGATATAATGTATAGGCCTGTTATGGTTCAGGGTTTTTCATCTTACATCTGTCTGCGTGAATGTTGGAGGTGCAAAGACTCCTGAACGTGTAATGTTAATTTTTACCTGTGATCATTGAATAAATCAGCACTATTTTGAAGTTACTTGGACTGCCTCGTCTCTCAGAGTTAGCGTGGTGAAAAGAACTGGGTCACAACACTTCATTCCATTATCTTGTTAAGTGCATGCATTTGCATGACAAAACAATACAAGAATGGCAGTATTGCTTTGGAGAAACCTGACTACAGAGATTACTGATTAATATCATCTGGGCTTTCCAAAACAAATACATTTCTCCTTGTCCCTTTTCTCACAATTCTGGTACAGGTATCTTGTACGCAGCTAATTTACAACTTTACTGAAACATTCAGAAACTAGGAAATGGTAAATAAACACTACTGACCTGTGTGATCTAGATTCCCGGCACACTACACAGATAAGCCTCTTATCGGTCTGGCAGTAGAGTTTCAGCTCTTCGCCATGTTGTTCACACTTTCCATCTACTTTAATGGGCTTGGAAGATGTAGGACAAGATCCCAAACAATCCAGATCGTCTATCTTGGCCACCAGGTTCTGCACCAAGTAGTTTTTAGTGAAGGTCCTCTTGTTGAACACCTGAGAGAACAAAGGAAGGAACTCAAAAAGATGCAGAAAATCGGTATTCATTTGTCGATAGTTATAACTTGCTTATTGCCTTTTCCATTACATTTTTAACAGCTAAAACACAAAGTCAGCTAATTCTTAGCCCACTTACCTGCTGATAATTCCCGTTAGCTAGTTAAAACCAGCTAGCAAGCTATCATAGCAACAGTAGCTGCTAAATGCACTGCGCACCTCATTATTTTACAACAACCAACCGCGAACAACCCACTCTGAATTCGTTGAAAAAGTAATAACGTTACTATCACGTACGTAACCTACCAAACATGTTCGTCAAGAAAACACGGTAACATTAGAAAATACAGATAACGGATTAAACTTACCGTTCGGCACTGAGGGCACTGATACCCGTAGTCTCCGCCATTTTCATCCCAGTGCATACAAATGCAAAACCGACAAAAATTATGCCCGCATTTCAATATAACAGGGTCTTTGAAAAACTCCAAACAAATTGCACATGTGAGTTCCTTCTTCAGGTCGTCTCCAGCTGCTCCAGCAGTAGCCATGTTTACAAGCTAACAGCAACACAACACTGCCACTACCGGAAGTGAAGGGGAAGGCGCAAAGGAAGCGAGCACTTTTGGGGTACATAATTTTCTTCCTGAACCAATCAGAGTCCTCCCCACTCCTCTCTCTCTCTCTCTCTCTCTCTGGCTCCATCAGAACACAGACATTTACCCAGTACAGAAGCTGTGGAATGAACTCAAAAGATGTGTTAACTGTTCAATACGTTGAATATACGCCTTTTACTTGGAACTGAGTTTTATTAGTAGTGTTGTATTGCTAGTTTCATGTATAGCCTACTTTTCTACGGATCCATCACCGATCTAGGTCAAGTCTAAAGCCTTATCCAAGGAAGTCAGGTCTCCAAATCCTAAAGGGCAAGTCAAATCAACTGCAAGTTTTCCAGATTTCCGAATGCTGACCATTAAAATGTAATGTTCTACATAGCTGAGTCCAACCTTTGTATATGATTTTTGCTTTCTCCAGGCCCAGGCTAAGAGCAGTGAAGTCCAATCAAGACTTAAGGCATCATCTTTTGAGTCTGACTTAAGCCCACATCTCAAGTCTCAACTCTATAATGCAGCATAAATATTGATTAAATCAACGACCTATCAGTAAGCAACTGTATTTATTCTTAAATACATATACATAAAGCCCATTCATAAAAAGACACAAAGTGAATATCACGTTTGATTGTTTCTGCTAAAACTGTCATATATACATGGGGATAACTGTCTGTGGGGTATACGTTACATTGCATAGCTTTGACTGGCATGTGAGGGATGTGACCTAAAAAGTGCATTTGATGCCAGATATGGTGTTATTTCCACATTCATCAGGGCCAAATAATAAAACTAATAATAAAGCACAGCTGGGTTTCCACACAACTATTAGTTGTCTAAACCCTCAGGTTCCTTTCACTGATTCATACCTCAGCTGATTTCGGGGCTAATGTTCATCGCATCAGCTAACCCTGATAAATGCTGGAAAAAAATTACACAATGATGACAACATTGTAATAAGACAAATATTTAAGAACAACAATCTCACTATCTTGTATACCTATAGCAGAGTAAGACAGGTTTACCAGTACATGTAAAGAAATTTCACTTGTGACATAAAAAAAGCGGATTGTATCAAATGTCTGTAACTTAATATTTTTCATGATAACACACTAATCTGGAAGCAGCAATTTCGCTTGTGTCCTTTGTTCAAAAACATGAGTCAGAACACTGAAATCCCACACATCACTAGTGACAAATAAAGCCCACAGGAACATAACGTGGGAAGAACAGGGGTCAAATCATTGGATATGGATACAGTATTTGCATGTTCACAGCACCACACTTATTAGCAGTGTGACACAAAAGTGGAAAGTGACTCTGTAGAGATTTTCTTCACTTAACAGTAGTAAATTGTGTTACAACACACATTTCATTCTCTGTAAAAGAAATAACTCCTGAGATGAGTGTCTTGTGTTATTTTAAAAAGCTGTGAAACATTATGCCCAAAGTATTTTGAATAAATATGGCAATATCACAGAAACACACAGGGACGCAACATCACTGAGAGAATGAATAGCAGTAAATACTGTGGTAACAATAGCAGTGATGAGCTGTAAACACATGACGGAGTATGTAACAGAGTTTACAAAATATACACAATATTAGAAAATAAAACTGTGTGAACAATCTAACTCAGCAACAACAGAAATGTTCGGTACATCCAGGAAAACATTCCTCGTCACACGGTAAACAAAATAAAGAAGAGCAAACACAGTTAATGAACAACATGATTAGCCATTTAATAAATCTAAATTCCAGTAGTAGTGTTATTTATTTATTTTATCTCCAGTAGTCTGATAAGAGAGCTACACAGGTTTAGTTTACAGGTAAGAAACAAGTCGCATTTTTGTTTATGTTTTTCATTACACACTGTGTAACCCATATTCAGCATATTTTTCAGGACAAAACTATAGGCCTCAAGGCACCGTTCAGCCCAGAATGAATATTAATCTACTCATGCAGCATAGTCTTAAATGTTTTGTAGCCAAACACTACAGGTTCAATATTTATATTAAGTCCAATGTTGACCTTCCAAGCCCCAGTATTTTCCTAAATGATAGTATCATCTGACCACCCTCTTTAGAACAACTTTGAGTACAGTAAGCAAGATTATAGCGTAAATACTAGACTTTTGCATTCATGATGCCATTGTTAAGATACTGTACTAAACACTGGGAATATACTACACAGTGTGCTGAAATCTGAATTATCTTTAGAGGTTCATAAACATCAGTGAGGTTTCGTCTGACACAAAGGCAGGCTGATAACATCGGAGTGTTTATTTTGAGGCGAACTACTCCTTTCAGTACGAACACTGACATCATCTAGTCCCATTTCCCCAAGGAGCACCTGCAGCACTAAATCTCCGACTTGGCCTGTGTGACACTAGCTTTATTAGAAAAGCGCTCTTGGTGACTGGTACTATCCTGAAGGAATATAGCTGCTTCAGGCACTTTGACACCATAAGACAGAGAAAGGAAATAACCATGCTACTAGCAGCACAAGTTGGAATGTTAAGTGAAGACAGTGTATAGGACCATTGCGCTGTTTCTTTTGCAGTGATCAAGATATGTAATGGATCCAATACTGTGGACATCTCCCCACTAACAGGCACATAACCCAATATCACATTTCAGATTTTTGCTGTTATAAAAGAAATTTATTACCAGTTACAAGTGGAAAAAAAGATAATCCAAAATTCTATAAAAGCCCCCCCACATACTTTTCATTTCTTTGTCCATCTGTCCAGCTACACATGCATTGCTCAGACCTCGGAGCTGTTGTGGCAGCCTTGCATCCTCACCACCAGCATGGGTTCTGTACTGACAGACCCTTTCATCACCTGCTGCACCCCACCTCTCCACCTCTCATTAACATCCTTCTGTCTGAATCTCAGCACCAGTATGATGATGACAATAATGAGGACAGTCAGAAGCAGTCCCACCAGTGCCCCCACCACAGTCACTAGTCCCACCTCTTCCTCCTTTGCATTTAGCTCACTTGGTTCCAACCCACTGACAAACAACTCCTTTGACCCCCCAGACTGCCGCTTAGTACGGTCCAAAACAATGTGCATGATATTGGTACCACGGTTATTTTCTGCTCTGATATCCTCAGCAATCTCTGGGACTTCATTGTCGGTTGACCTCCTGGGGCGATGACCCTTGCCACTTGACTGGGTCAAGCTGAGATCACTGCCTGTGGAAACCAAGTAGTGGTGCTCCAGGCTGCGCTTTCCAATGCCTTTGTCAGCATTCTTTCTGGAACGGACTGTGTAAATGATGTGAATGTACCACTCACGGCCTGCAGCAACCTGAAAAAAACAAAATTAAATACACAAAATTATGACTGTGTTCACTTTCACAATGATGGAATCTGACAGTCATGAGACACAGCAAAATACAGCATACCTGGAACATGGCTGCAGAGTCTAGTCTAAAGCCATCGGACCCTGGCTGTCTGACAAGGGACATGGCTGATGGATCATCTACTGCCAGCAAAGCATTGAAACTGACATCACCAAACACACGTGCCTGAGTCTCTGGCTGAGCCTTGTCCTGATGAGATGTGTTAGATTGAGAGGAAAAAAGGAAGTAAGGATGTTTTTTGTGTGACGGTTATAAAATATCATTTTGTGTACTAATATCACAAAATGAAAATGCAGATTATACTCACAAGAATTTTGAATCTGTAAAGCAATGATGGAGAGTCAGCCAGGCAGCCAAATTCAAACTTGGTCGGATTGTACTTCGGTACATATCCATCAGCGCCAGTGCAAAGGAACACCTTCTCTATGTTACAGAAGAAAGAGTCTCCCAGGTTCTGCACAGGGTCCACCATCACACGGCCATAGATTGTATCACCTAAAATAAGGGATGGATCGCATTTAGAATTACACAGAGAACAGAATATTTATGTATTTGCATGTTTTAACAAAACAATAAGTACATATACATTAATGCCAACCACATGTCCACAGCATAGCATTGTTTTTCTCCAGTTTTTTGCCAGTAATAAATATTTTGATGAAACAAAATTATCATTTTTTTTATCCTTTCCAAGATGCTGATGTTTCCAGGTTTCATTTTTAGACAGCATCTCTGTGACATTAATGCTTTTAGGTTCAACTTTTAGAAAGTTTCTTTAACTATTATGCAACAACATATAAAGCTGACAAAATGTTCACTGGCATGAATTAACTATAGTGTGTCAAGCAAAGCTATTTGATTTTTATACTGTGCTGCACTTAACTCAAATCATTAGTTTCCTGAAAGCCATAGAATTGCAGAACTGATAAATAAAGTCTTTAGACCTTGTAATTACCCTCAGAAAAAGCCATGTCACTCTCCTGACCAAAACCCATGGAGCCATCAGAGAGCCACAGGCTCTTCTTGGACAGCAAGAACATCTGAGTGTTCAGACTGAATTCCACTGCAACTGGGTCACTCACCTGAAGAAGGAAGCAGATAGTCAGTGAGGGATAGTATAATGAAGGAAGAGACAGGAGAAGTGACAGAGAGAGAGAGAGAGAGAGAAATCTTTCTGAAACAAAGCTTACCACTTTTGGTTCTTAAAGTCTAAATGAAGACTTACTTGCTGAAATCTGATGTCTAGGTCAAAGGTGACTGGTTCTCTGGGACTACAAACAGGTGGAATAGTGTACTCCATATTATGGGCTATTGTACAGGGGATCAGCTTCACTGTGTAGGTCCCAGAGTAGTCTCTCACCTGCATGGAGCAGAGATACACAAACGTCAGTCTGTCCATCCAGCTGCTCGGGCACAGTGATTTACACAGCAAACATTTGGGGTTGTGTACCAGAGCACAAAAACTGTTATGAATCATCCTTACACCAAAGTCAGAGGTGAATGTCCACTGCTGGACTGGCTGGTTGTATGTGGGTTCACTCTTCACTAAGGACAGGTTAAAGGTCAAGCCAGGGTGGTCCACACTCATCACCATGGATGACATGGAGGTTTCTTATTAACAGATGTTGAGAGGGGGAAAGGTTCATAATGGCAGACTGATACAGCATTGACAAAATCAAATGTGATGCCTATTAAACTGATTACTTAAGGACTTTATCAGTATCTTCAGTGATGGTGATATTATAGAGGAAACATAAAACAAACATGGTCACGATAATAGTTGGTCTCACCAGTTCTCGTTGTACTTCTTTCAGAATGAGACTCCACGAACAGACCCCTGAAACGAGCCTTGGTGTGGAAGCTTACCACCAGACGTCCCTGGTCATTGATACGCATACTGGTCGGATACAATGCACCTGGAAAAAATACATGCAAACACATCAGATTCTTCAAAACTGTTCTTTTATTACATGGATGATACTGAGCCTAGAAATACAAATGATAATAAATTTACCCTGTAGCTTGGACAGCGGGGGGCTGCCAATGCCATCTTTCCAGAGAATGGCTGTGTCGTACACAAAAGTGAGGCGCAACTCAGTCTGCAGGTCAAAGTGCTGCCAGCCAGCAGCTCCCAAAGGGGAGTGGAACACATATGACACATAGAGAGGCACACGCAGAGTCACATAAGACTGGACCAGGTTCAGCACCTGTAAGGATGTTTCGATCAGCAGTGGGTGAAGAAGACGTATTTTTAAAACTTTTTAAAAAACACAGATATATTGAACGCAGTCATCATTGAAATGTCCTTTGCTTTATTATTCTGAAAAATCAACAGTTATAATTAATGACTCATAATGTTCTCAGAGTACAATTCAGTATTGACACGGAACGTTGTTCATTTACTCGATATTATGGTTGAAGCTTGAAATTCTCAGTATATGATGTTTGACAACAACTGTATTATTCTTTAAGATTAAGGAATGATTGTAGGTCGATCAGCTATAATAAGCGCTGTAACAGATGAATACGCTGTTCTCCTCCACAAGGTGCTTGCACTCTTTTACTCCTACTCAGTGTTGTCAAAGATGCAGAAAAGTCTTCCTGAGTTGTACACAAGGAACTGCAGTGGGCAGTGGTGTGGGCTTGTACTGTTCTTTTCAATCTTTTTGTTTTTTATGTCTGCCAAGTATAAAAACTTGATATTTCATGTTGACCATCACTGAAGCAGAAACTCTAAAATATACCTGTAATTACACAGACTTTAGAAAACAATTTGATTACATTTACTCTAATTTAGAAAGGTGAAAAAACACAGTTCTACCCAAAACCTTTCTGGAAAAAAATGTCCTACACCTTGAAATCCATGTCAGCATAAAACTTTAGATGTAGTTACACAAAGTCAACCACTAGGTGTCTCTGTTCACCAGCATTACTTCAGCAATTACAACTTGTTGCCCCACATCTGTGACAAAGTCAGTTTGTCTTAACAACTAATTGACACTGAACTACATTATCTTTCTTTGACTTATAATGAAAACGTGTCACTTTGCATAGTCACTTACTAAACTCATTACCAGGCATGAGATTAACTGGCAAGAGAAACTACGAAGTCCTTATCACTCTCCCTTCTCTGATCAACCATTCTTCATCATTCAAGTACATATATTGGAACTTCTGATCTTATTTCGGAAACAAAACAAATTATATGTGAAAAAAGAACCACTGCATTACAAACCTGGAATATATCTTTGGTTCACTTTAAACACATCTACACAATCCACCGCAGTATGTATGAAAAATCACCAAGGCAAGTTGTGAAACTGCTGATTCAGGAGCCAGATGAGATATTAAATAGTTCTAAGTGAGAGACAAGCTACCTCAGCACTAGAGTTTGAAAAAGCCATAATTTTATAACAACCCCCTTAAATTATGGGAACAAAAAAAAAAATATTCACCTTGAGATTCAGAGACTTGAGTCTCAGAAGTTATGTAGAACAAAATATAAAAATGTTATGGCAGCACGGTGGCGCAGTGGTTAGCGTCGTTGCCTCACCCCCACCTGGGACCTTTCTGTGTGGAGTTTGCATGTTCTCCCCGTGCTTGCGTGGGTTCTCTCCGGGTACTCCAGCTTCCTCCCACAGTCCAAAGACATGCAACTTAGGTTGATTGGTGTCTCTAAATTGCCCATAGGAGTGTGTGATTGTTTGTCTATGGGTCATCCCTGCAATGGATTGGCTACCTCTCCAGGGTGTACCCCGCCTTCGCCCGATTGCCGGCCAGGATTGGCAGTAGAAAATGAATGAATGAAAAACCAAGGATAAAAGACAGCTCAAATTTACTATAATAAAAATCTACAGGTAATGGTTTGTTTTTACATAAATTTTTCCTTCTCATCTTCAGAGCTCTTTGACTCATGCACCCTGATGGAGCTGCAAGTTTTTGAAGCTATGTGACAGTGATCTCTGTTAAAGATGTGATGTCTTGTGGGTGACGGGCGTCACGTGTAACTATGCGTGCAAGTGGTTCTTACTGTGACTGAGGATAAGTAAATTAATTTCTTACTTCTTTTCTATTTCACCCTAACCCCCATCCCTCCACAGGCCCGCAGGCCCTCTCAGCAGTCGGATCGGTAACAAGAAGCTTGAAGATCAAAGGATGAAGGAACATAACAGAGCAGCAGGACATGAGCAAAGGAGCAAGGGTCTGTTTCCTAAAGCACAATAACAAGAAGCAGGAGAAAACTACCGTACAGTAGGGTACACAGCACAACAAGTTTTTTAAACATTTGTTGCAATGCACTGCAATGACAGCAACAGCTACTGGAGGTTTGTTGGCATCTAACTGAAAGCTAATAGGAATGCCAAAATGTAACACCAATGTCTGACTTCATAGGTGAGTCCTACTGACCTACCAGCCAGCCACTAAATAAAACACTGAGCAAACCTGCCTGACAGGTAACAGGTAAGATTCAGCCTTATTTATTCATAAAGTCACTGTGGTTTAGGAGCTGCAGCTTTTTTAATGTGGGGATGTTATTTTAGCTGTTTTTTACTCAACTGGAAGAGTTTAATACTCCACATTGATAGTGGTGGTGACCTTTATGGGGGGTGACTGTCAGGCTGGCAAGACTGTGTCTAAATTTATATGTTTCTATGTATGTATGGGTGCATGCGGGCTGCAAACAGACAGAAACACACACAGGTGGACACACATAAAAGCTAAGAGTCAGACAGATGTACAGGTGTACATTCACACACTAGATTGGGATTTATACATTATACATCCACAGAAACATGCAAAAGCATACACCCACCTGTCCGTCAGTCCCTATGGTGCCTCCGCAGTCAGTGAGCAGCTCAGACATGTGGTAGTAGCTGGTGAACTCCCAGAGACAGGCTTCCAGGTTGAGGTTTCTGTAGAAGTGCAGTGTGCTGTTACCGCGCAGGGAGCCACTGAACTGATAGGGTGCTGTGTCTCCCATGCTCTCGGGGGTGTGCGTCGAAGCGATGATGAAGCTGTGGTCTGTGGTGACCTCACTGTAGTCAAGCAAGTTGGAGCAGCGGTGATTTCCGACCCGGGTTCCATCAAGACTGAGAGTCAGGTCAAAGTTTGTGAGAGGGTGAGTGGAGATCACTGGAAGCATGCCTGCAAGGCAAAGCAAGTCAGCACGATGCTGCTGTTTTTGATGTGTGAACTTAGAGAAATTATTATTTCAAAAGTTCAGTGAAGAAAAAAATGAGAGAAAAATAATGAAAGGAAAAGTAGGGGTACTATAGAAAAAGATGGAAGGAAAGCTGAAGTGTTGAGGCAGAGAAAAAACTGATTAAAAATCAAGAAGGGAATGTTAAGTAGTGGGTCTGCTAGAGGGTTTGATACAACCCTGCAAGATCTATATTCTGGTTGTCATGCTCCTGAGGATCCCCAGACGTGAATATTACACACACTACATTACACTTCCCCTCATCTGTGGTACGAGCCATGCCTTCAGCTCTGACCTACCATCTATGTGAGGCATGGTGACAGTCAGTTTGATGAGGTTGGGATGTTTCAGGTCGTCCGCTCCAGTGTAGCGTAGCTTGGCAGAGAAAGGCTCGGCGCCAACGGTCCCCATCTTATGTGGCTGACACATACCTTGTGTTGATAGAGGAGCAGAGAGGAGAGATTCTCAGCATGAGGACAGACAACAATACAAAACACACTGAATGGCTATAATTGTGTCTGATTACTTGTGTGATAAATCTACCTATATTATTTTCATTATTATTCTTAGACATGCTCTAATATACTGGTAAATGCATTTTTGGGCAACTCGCCTAATGTATTATTACTGTGTCGGGTGGTGATTTCTATATCTCTAAGAATACCCTGTGACCGCCCTGAGAGAGCAAACCTGAATGTGCTGCATTCAGGATGTGGAGGTGGAGTGTGGAGGTGGAGTGAGTGCAGCCTAAGTAACAGCATGGTTTTTTTTAATTTGAGTGAGGAGTGAGAGATCTATCTCTTCTTCAAAGCATACATTTTGTAGTCGCACTGGATTGTGATTTCCTGGGCTGTTGTACACAATGAAAATGGGGTTTCTGAAATGTATTTATCTAGTTTTTTCTTTCTTTGATCTTCCAGTCTGAGGGCCTGACATTACATTTGGCATGAGTAAGTACAAGTGCAAGCACATTTCTTAGTACTGAACTTGAGATACTAGCACTTTACATAGCAATACTTCAGTATTTCCATTTTATATACTATACCCAACTACATTTCATTTCAACTTACATTTATGCCATTATTTTTCAATATATTTATTTGATAGTTTGAACTACCGATTACTATGCAGATAAAGATTTTACATCCACAACACACGATGATCGCAGGCCTTTTACTTGTAATAGTATATATTCAGATTGTCTTATTGTTACTTTTAACAATAAGATCAGAATAACACCAACACTGTTTATAATTTAATTCAGAAGACTGAAATAGCTGAAAAACAAAGGGATAACACAAAATTAGACCAAAAAGCTACAAAGTCTTTACTTGTTTTCCAGATATTTAGGTGTATTTTTCTCTTAACGAGTCTGTGATACAGCTGTAATATACAGAAGGCACTGTTAAGTCAAGCACACTATTCCTGAACAGTTATGAAGTTTGGAAAACATCAAACCGTTTGGTTCTAATTGGAACATGGGGCAAAAAGAAAACAAAGCCCTTTTGGTTCTAATTGGAACATGGGGCAAAATCCCTTTTTAATGCCTTCTATAGAAAACATAAGACACAGAGATAGGCATTCACTGTGTCCTTACCTTCTTCCTGGCTAATCGTGGTAATGGGGCTGCTAAGCTCTAAACCTTCCTCCCCATTAGAATTGACAGCCCTGGCAACGCACTGGACCCTGGAACCTGCTTGGAAGTAGATTGAGTCCAACGTGATCATCTTGGTGGATGTAAAGAAGGTGTCAAAGTCCACCTCCCTCATGGGACTGGTGACGCCATCAGGGCCAGCTGGGGCACTGATGAGCCAGCGGTAGCGGGTCAAGGTGTTGTTGATATGCTCGCTGACACAGATAGAGCCTGTCTTGTCGTAGTCTGGGTATTTTGTGTTACAAGCCTGAAGGATGGATAAGCACAAATGGGTGGGTGGGTATAGGCATGGCAGATGATGGGAAAGATACAACAGATTGCAGAGGACAAAATGAGACAGAGGTATAAAATAAAAACAACTAGGTGACTGTTGCCAAGGAAATCCGGATGTTTCATATTAATCCATAATCCAGATGTTTCCATATCTGAGTTCTTAACATCACTTTTTAAAAATTATATAGATATGTGAAGGAGGCATAAGCTAACAAACATTGGTATGTCTGCCAAAATAGCCAAAAACATTCCCAGACTCCAAAACAGCTGACACTGTACCTCCTAATGCAGCACTCAACACTTCCAATTTTGACAAGATTGCTTCATTTTGTCTCCCTGGAGGACCTCCTACACAGCTGACCCCAACACAGGGAAACACACACGGACACACAGCAGTCACCTGAGAAGCAGGTGACTTAACATATCATGAAACTCCATTTCAGCACCTCAGTGAAGTGGAAGTGATTTTCCAATGTATGAAAGCATGAGGACTGTTGCCTACTAAGCTGTACAATGTGTCTTTTGGAGAAAGACTGCAAACTCCTGAAGGTCTGTTTAACTTTGTCTGATGAAAAATATGGCTCCTGAGGGATAACAATGTGCCCTCCACTCCCTAGAGGATGTGGGTCCTTGTTAGGTCCTGCTACTTACAGACAAAGCCTAGCTGGTCAAGTTACAGTTTAGGTACAATTCCACTGGTGTTTCTGAATATGATTTCAGTTTAACTCACTGTGACACAGATGACAGGGTAGCCAGCTGGTGGGTGGAAGTTGTCCGGTGTCCTGGCGACATTGTCGTAATGGAGCAGTGACACAACGTGAGGCAGGGAGGGGAAGGTGACATCAGCCATGTTGTTAATCTCCTCGATGTAAACTATTACTTTAGTTATCTGCTCCAAAAAAAAAAAGAGGTTTAAGACTAATGAGAATGTGTGAATTGTTTTACTTTTACTATGTTTAATTGCTATCATTGAGATGATTGGAATCAGAATTGGGTGAATTTACAATCTCAGAATCATGGTTGATGCCCCTCTCTCATTTCTCTGTGTCTGCCCCTTCTCTTCTGCTTGCTGTTCTTTTTTTTTTTTTCTTAGACCATCTATTATTTATTTTGAAATGTTTTCATCACTCTTTTGGCTGCAAAGACAGTAAAGTGCTTCTCTTGTCTGAGCTGTGATACCCTTGTATAAGAGATCCCTGATCTCAGTGGGACTGACCTGGATAAATATGGGTCAAATTGGAAAAAATGAAAGATTTTTATGTCTTTACTGTTTCATAAAGCTGTATTATTGTGTGATGGTTGGGCATAAACACATTCCTGACCTGGGTTTCAGCCACCATGTTTTCATCAGGCTTCAGATGGAGAGTAAAGGCTTCCCTCATTTCTCTGACACCATCAAATAGCACCTCCACCTCCACCACATGTTCTTTGTCTCCGTGTTTAAACTCAATGTCTGGCCACACACAAACACACGCATGAACATATATGAACACCAAAAAAACTGGTTGAAATGCAATTGATTAACTGTATATACAATACAATACAACATAAACAGATCATCATCAGATCAAGTGGAATGCATTGATTGTCCTGGCAAAGTGTTTGTGGCAATAACAATAGTCAGACGACATCAAGGCCAAGTTTCTGTCTCTTTTTGGTGAGTTTAGTTTTCTACCAAAAGACAAAAGTTGTCCACTTCGTGTTTTATTGCTTCAGAGGAATATCTCACTTAGTTTTAAAGCAGTGCATATTACTATTTGAACAGTGCCGATGGCGGTTCATCTCCTTGTGAAGTAAGTAATAAAACTTTGCTGCAGTGATAAAATATTGTGCAAAAAGAGAAATTCAGTACTGTATGATTCAAAACTGTACAATCTGCACTATTTGAACAGTGAGGAGACAGGCATGATTTGAATAGACCAAATGTAATCATAAATATTTTAAGCCTTGATTAAGCCAAGAAAGGTTCACTGCACTAAAAGCTGAGTGCAGAGAGGAAGAGTTCACTCTGCTGACAAAGTATGAAGAATACTGAAATTCAGTTAAACACTATATGATTTTGGCATAATGATACTGGAATAATTATCTTTCACTATTTGGGATAAAATCAGAAATCAATAATTATTTTCATACAAATCCCTATGCCCACTTTCATTTAACATTCCTACACAGAGCTTTGTATCATGCTAATCTATCAGAAGGATATCTGCAGGCCAGTAAGCGCAAAGGTCAGATATCTTGTCAGGTTTTTGACTACCAGTGGTGATGCAATGTGACTTACCGATGACATATTGTAGACTGAAAGTCTATTTATACAATGGAAATGTCAAAACCTTTCTAAAAAATATGATATATTATCAGAAAATTAGTATGGCTTTAGGGAAAAACATTTCAATGACAGTGCTAGATTTTACAGAAAAGATATCAGAGGCAGTTTTAAAGAAGGATTATACTGTAGGCGTATTTATTGATCTAAAAAGGCATTTGATACTACTGATCACAATCTGTTGTTAGAGAGCCTGAGAGATATGGTAATCAGAGAGGTTGCATATTCTTGGGTTAAAAGTTATTTGCAAGATAGTTTACAATATGTTCAGCTAAATCATTATTCATCAAACAAGTAAAAATATGGAAATCTCATATAAACTAATCCATTGCAGGGTTACATAAAGTTAAAGGTCTATTGTCTCAGAACAAATTACATATGTTACATTGCTTATTTTTATTACCTTTCTGTATCCTGTGTGGAAGTATGTGGAAATGCTTATAAATCATATAAATTCTGTAGATTCTGCCTGTGCCTTTTGGCTCAGTAAGGTGTGTGTAAACAATTGTTTGTTTGTATGTATGTATGCTTATACAACTAAACTAAACTAAACTAAACCAAACCTGCATTTAGATGGAGTTCTTTACTGGTTGAGCACATTATTTATCCCAAAATGGAAATGTCTGATTTTAAATAAAACAAGGACAAAAACAGTGGTCTTTGGACAAATCACATGTACTTTTGCAAATCACACTGGTGCTTTCTAAGAACTGTGAATGCATCCGCTGATTGCATCGTAATACTGATAACTGACTGCATCCTGATTTGAACAGTGTGCTCTGCTTTATTATTCATGCTGAGTTTTTAATATTAGAATACCACAATGTAACTTTAACCCTGAGAAACATAAGAGATGTGTGTGAGGTTTACCTTGAGACACAGGGTAATAGTCCTCTCCAGAGACAGCTGACCCATCCTTGGTGTGAACGCGAACCACTGATACCTTTGATGTGTCACCCATTCGAACCACAGGGATCCTCACTGTTACCACGGTGCCGGCCTCTTTCGGTTCGCTAACACTGAACTTGGTTTTCAAAAAACGAATGATGGGTTCTAAGGCACACAGAAAGGGACAAAGCTGTAATAAGTGTGCAAACATGCCCTGTCTCTTCTTTTCACCTCACTTACTGTCAGCTGTGTCTTTGATTTTCACCAGGGTCTCGTTCAGAGCTCCCACTGATGCGCCAAACTGCAAGTCGCTTTTCGGGTTTCCTAAAACCAACCGCAGCTCTTCTCCCTCCTCGTACAATGTGTCATCAACCAGTGACAGAATACACGGCTTCTCTGCCTCACCTAAAGTGCACAGCAAGATGGAGGTGACAAGACGTCAAGAAATGTGAGGTAGAAGAAAGGCTTGAATAAGTTACACACCAATTCTTGTTCCTGTTTTACAGCATGTAACATCCAATTTGCGTAGTTCCTCCAGAGTCTTTGGAAGCTCTTAAAACATGGCCTATTTTATAAAAAAAGGAAGAAAGAAAAAGCTGAAAATAAAGTTGCAGTGGGCCTAGGTAATGTGTGGAACACAGCTGAACTTACAAGCTCCTGTGGTGTGTATCTGCAAGGGATGGTTGATTTTGAAACAGTGCCAAAAAAAAAAAAATCTCAAAGTTGTTTATTTAATTAAAATTCATAAGACAAGCTAGTTTGAAAAAAAAAGAAAGAAACCATGTGAAGTACTTGTGTGATTACTGAAGTACCTGGCAAGAAAGCGATTACAGATGCATCTGTGTTAGGCCTTTCATCAAAGTCAGAGGCGACCTGTGCAGAGCCTTGACGGGTATAACAGCGCACAGTGGACTTGTGTTTGATGTCGCCGCTGCGGTACACTGTCGCTATGATCTGACCATCACTCTCCTCTCCAGTGTACACCGCCTCATGGAACTGGACCTTTGGTACTGTATGTGAACAGGATAGATCACTCAGTAATAGTATTTCTCATGCTGTCTGGGCTTGAATGTATAATTGACTGAACAGATTTTCAAAAGCAAATCAAATAACATATACTGTCACAACAAGCTTTGTTTGATTTAACACCACTAATGAATGTTGTGAAAATATTAATACAAGTTGTATTTAATAAAGCCGCTAAACTGAAGAGTAAAGAAGTTACCATGACAAGATGTTGGTACTTTATGAGGCTGTCATGTAGTCTTTCAACACTTGGAGCAGTTATATGTGCATTAAACAACAATAAACAATATTCATACTGCACATACAACATGCAGACTGTTAATTACTAATAGTAGCAAAAACATTAATTTACAGTCATGCTTGCTAATTATGATTGTAAATCCTAAGAAGTGGACAAATTGAAATTTAATCTGACAGATGCTACATAAAAGGTCAAGGATCACTAAATTTACTACTGTATATCCTGAGCCAGATGACCCATAAGGTTTATCTTCTTGGCACCATGGATATCTTTATCATAGCAATTTATCCAGTAACTTTCAAGACACTGGAGGAAAAATCAGGGAATCACCTAATTCAGTATGATTCATCCTCTGAGGTCTATGAATTGTCTGTACAAACTGTTCGGAGTGACCGGCAGACAGAATGACAAGCCAACATTGCCATTTCTAAAGCTATGCTGTTGGCATGGCTATAAAAACAATACTCTAGGTGAGAAAATATATCAGAAAATATTCTAGGTAAAAGAAAATCAAAGCACTTACAGTCAGACACAGAGTCACTGATTAAAACTGTAGCCTTCCCAGGTTTTCCCAGGATGCCATTCACTGGCATACATAAGACCAGCTCAAAGCTCTCAGTCCCCTCCACCTCTGGCTGTCCCAGGTCATCCAGAATGGTAACCCTGAATGTCTGCACGCTGACACCCGGGGCAAAGTCTAGGTTACGACTGATGCCCACATAGTCAATACCGGCTGGAGGAAACAGAGAGCGGTATGTAAGGTCAGAAAAAGTTAAAATGAAAAGAACCTGAGTAGACACAGAGAAAGCAGAGAGATGATGTTCTTAGTGCTAAATTCAGCCACAAGGAGCATTGGGCTGTATGACCAGGAGCTCACCTTCTGCAGAGACAGGCTCAGCCTTACGAGAACGAACGGTGACAGTGCTGATCTTGGACAGATCAGTTCCCATCCTCCACACTTTGACCTCTACATATCCATCACTCTCATCTACATGATACTCCACCTCTTGAAAGTAAAACACTGGAGCTGGAGAGCAAAGAGAAAAGAATGAAATTAGCAGTACTTGGTACTTCTTTTCTATGCTACATGTCCATAGTTTCCCTGTTGTTTTAACTCGAGATCCCTGCCCTCAGTTTGGTGATGCAACACTGTGTTTTAATATCCTGCTGTGAATATCCAGGCTGTTTGACGTGTTAAACACTTTTGGAGATCTTTCTAATCAGTGCACATTTGGGGATAGGTGATTTGGCCTTGTTAGTGCTTTGTTAGTTGTTAAATATTGCTTTGAAATCAATTCGAAGCAGTTGGGTATATCTGGCCTCGGGAAATCTGGAGCTGTGGGAGTGTTAAGCAAGTAATTTACAGTACACACTCTACATACTCTTCTCCAACTGGACAGTGATTTTTTTATATATCCATACGCACTGCTACGTACATCAGTGAGTTGTTTCTGCCTGTCAGTCTTGTTTCTTTTATGTCTTGGTAACTTCTTAAAGACACATCTTAGAGAACTGAGGAACCAGAGACTGCAACTATAATTTTTTCCTCCCTTTTGTTTAAAAATCTTTCATATAGTGGAGTGGAGTAGAAAATAGCTTTGTGCATGAAGCTGAGAAACACTCAGCTTGATGCAAATATCCCTGTAATGCAGCTGAGCACCTTTCGGCTCTATTAACCTTCACGGGAGGTGCAGGACTGCAAGTCAGGTCTCATTCACAATGAATGGCACCAGTCGCTGGCACAGTCTTTTGAATTTGCTTGTGTGAATGCACCATCTACTGTAATCGCTGATACTTTTGTACCTGACAAATTATGTTAATGGCCTTTGACCTCATGTGACCCATCTCTGTAGCATGAGTTCATATCTGAAAGTTTGTGTTGAGAGACATTCCTTTATTTTGTGCACTCAGTTGTAATGTGTAGTCGTGCTACTGTTACTGTGAAGTGTGCTGTTTTCGTCACGATGGGGCGCAGTTTTGTGAGCGCACCCATTTTTGTTATTAGCGGGAAGGTCTGAGTTCCTTGAGGTCATCACACTATGAAGAGTGTAGATGTGTGTTATTCTTTGTCCCAATAAAATATGCTAAGAGAGCTAAAGGATATTATTGCCTCCGTCAAATTCTTCCCCGAGTTCAACGCTGGTGAAGCTGCAAAACTCAACAGTTTGTTTCTTTATTTTTTGTTTAGTGTTAATGTTACTTGTTTTCTCTCCTCGCATGCACCCGCACTCTGATATAATTCATTTGTAAAGCCTGGAGCTGGACAAAGAGGTCAAACAGCGACAGTCCATTAGTCTGAAGTTAAACTGCAGGGAAGTGCGACCTTTCAACCTTTCCTGGCCTTTTACCCTACCTCCCTTTTACCATTCTGACAGAAACCGCTAAGTACTTTCAACAAAAAAGATGCACTTAGCACTTAAATATAAGGCCTGTGTCTGTGTGTGTGTGTATTTTTTCTATTCCTCTGAATGTGGGTGACAGAGAGAAAGCGGCCCCCTAGACTGCTCAAAGGCTTGTTTGAACTGGCATTGTTTCCTGAGGCAGCAAAGTGGAGGCAGTCCAATGTGTATTTGACAGCTTCATCTCTCTCAACTCCCCCTGTCAAGTCCAAAAACTGGCAGAAGAAAAGTTCTTCTGTTTAAATTTTCAGCTCCCACTCTCTCTCAATCAGTCCCCTTCTTATATTTGGGCAATAAGTATAAAAATAACATGTATATTATCATTTTTTTGTGTAAAAACTTCAGCAGTCCAGAGACATTTTTCTTGATTATTACTTTTGTGACATGAACGTTCACATTTTATTTATATAGTTTTACTGGGACAGAAAACAGAAGTTATAATGTAAACAACTAAGGAACTGAGAAGAATTACTCTGGTTACACTGCGACTTTTGACTTGACAAAATAACTGAAAGCTCAGGGCAACAATGCCCAGTGAGTGCTACTCATATAGCGCAGTCTGCGCCCTCTCTCTCCATCAAACTTGCTTCCTCAGTTCTCTCATACAGTTTCCTCCTACATGCTTCAGCTTCACCTAACAGATGTAGCTGTGGTTTGTAATGCAAGCAGAATTTCTGTATGTGAAAGAAAGGAAAAATTGCGTAAGGGGAATAAAAACATTTGACCTGGCGGGGGATGGGGTATTATTACTGTTACATACCTCAACAAGAATAGCGGCATTGTAGTACGTCTGTATATATTGTAAACAGTCTGGCATACATTCCTTTTATACTAAGAGAGGACGCTTCTGCTTGAATGCTAATAGTCATGTCTGAGTTCACACATGTCCCGAATGTATGCAGAGATGACAAATTCTTGACACCACAAGAGAGAGCTGAGTGATGACTGATGAGCGAGAATCACATCCTCTTCCCCCTCTGGGGTCATGCGTGTGGTTTAGCACTCTGAAGCATGTGTGAGGGCTGGGAAAGGTGTGAAGCCAAATCATGATAATTACTATGTGTGGGTGTCTGTAGCCATTTGTGAGACACTGCATCTTTAAATACTGTTTATAGAGTATTCTCAGCTGTCCTCTAAAGAAGGCCTTGGGAAGGAAGTGACTAATAAGCTTTTAGAAAATATTTGTCTGTAAATATTATTCTGGAACCTAAAGTACTTTTCTTTATGTCAAACTTCTTAATGAACAATACAATTAAAATTCATACATATAACAAATCACATGATAAAGAAAGTAGTTTTTTTTTTTTTAGTTCTACAAATGATATATTTTTCATGAATCTTTCTTTAAACTTTTATTTTGAAATACAGGACTGGTCTACCCCAGGCCTTTAAAAAGTAATAAAATGAAACATCACTCACTAGCTGGACTGGTCACAGCACATATGCATCCTGCCACAGGGGGTTTGCAAGTAGACACTGCTTTACTTTCCTAGGCTAAAAGGGTGAGAACCACATCTTTGGCAATCTTTTCATGTATGGGTAAACTGTATGCATATTTTGCACCTTCTTATGGGTTCGTTTGTTTCTTGTTGTGCTAGATACTAAAGTGCAAAATGCTGAGTATTTACTTTTTTATTTTTTAAAATTCTGTTTTATGTTGTATGTGTAGTAGCAGGAGGCAACATTAAGGGAAATAAATGAATGAATTGGCAGGAAAGGGAAGCAAATTGCCACAATTTGCTGTTTGTTAATTGTAATGAAAGATGGCATAAAAATAGGCAAAGAAAACATTTTGTAATTAAACTTATTTGGTTTGAGAATGAAGTGCATTGCCTTATAACGGCAACAGGTGAAACAAAGTCTCTTCAGTTTTTAATGAGCTGCAATCTACCCCCCTAAAAGTGTAAAACATCCCCAGGCTATCCACAGTGAGGCTGTAGAGTACAAATCAGCAAGCTATCCCGCTGCTTCAGGAGTGTGACGAACAGTAAGGCTGCACTAATATTGAAATGAGGGACTGGGCTTCCAAGAAATACTCTGAACTAATCTACAATTCTACAAAGTCAGCTGTGGCCGTATGCACCCGACTGAGAGAGCCTGAGTGGCCTCTCTCCTTGGCAGGGTACAAGTGGATGACAACGCTCACTTTGCGTCAGCGTGTGCAGCCATGTGGAGCACTACGCTCAGGGAGACAGGTACTGTTGAGTTTAACCTGATAAAATACTAAATCTAGCAGACACCCTGGGCCTTTTTCAGCTGAAGTTAGAGGAAGCGTGTGTGAGTATGAGAGAGGAGAGAGAGAGAGAGAGAGAGAGAGAGAGTGAGTAGTGGTTGTGGATAAATAGATGGAAGGAGAACAGCAGAGTGAACTTGACTTTGACCTGGGGGAAGGAAAAATGGGGCTAGAGCAGTCACACTTAAAGTTGTTCAAGTGCTTCTCTTACCTTACCTTTGATGCAGAATTTAAGGTCTAACGTAACTTGGTGTGCATAAACATGCATGCAGAGCAGACACATATGTAAACATCAAGCATTGTAACTTTTGTTTTGTTATTTTACCTGGCAAGTAGAGGTTGAACTACAGTGAAGGAGTCTGTCTGCCTGGGTGCAGGTATTAGAGCACTGACAGACATGTATTATCCTCTGGGAGGCTAAAAATGACACATCATGTCTCACTGGAATTGGGCTTTCACAAACACATTTCCATTCCTTTGAACACAACGCTATGACTGAAGCCTTCTGACATTTTTTTTTTAACAATCAGACAGCAGCATGACATGCTTTCTTGTTAACTAGCCCCCAGATGCCTCCACACACTCATATTCAATTTTGCACAATGGTTTGTATGCCTAAATGAGTCCTCAGTTATAAGTCATCATTGTTTTATTTATCCCAATCTGCAGTTTGGCAATAGCATGACAAGCCCTCTCTGACACAAATTCTTCTTGATACAAACAAATTGGGGACAAGTGACAGGAGGACTGAGAGTCAAATGTCTGTCAAATGTCTAAGATCTAATCTTAACCTGGACAAACACCATTGTAGGCATGCTATAAATATTGGGTTCTCAGGCAAAAGAACCCTATACAACACCAAAGCCATGAAAGCCGCTTTGATGAAGGCTAGGTCAAAACCAGTCAGTGGTTTAACCAGTATGCTCAACTAAATAAAGGCCTTTAATATATCTCCTGTCCCTGTTCTGCCTGAGAGTGCCTGAAGAATGTTATTTTTTCTTCTTTCCCCTCTAGTCATTTTAGATGAGAGCTAAATGTAGACACTCATTTCCCACTACAGAATCTAACAAAGAGTAAGGCTGATTTCTACTTAACAAGGTAAGAGAACACTTGAATAGAAAAGATGAAGGAAAGGGTGCTTAGTCTTGATGCATTTGGAGTATTACCCTGTGGTATGGTCTAGTGCCAAAAAAAAAAAAAAAAGCACAAAATTCAGGTAGTTCAAAATCAGGCGGCTTGTGTGGTCCTAAATCATTTATACAGAGCGCAGGCTGACAAAAGGCACACTGCTGTGTTCTGGCTGATGGTGGTGGAGAGACTGGTGTTCAGTCCAAAGTGTAATTTCTCAAGAATAGACATATATTTTAATACAATTACAAAACTAGACAAGTGACAATGATTAAGGCAGCTCTTCCTTAACTAATGCTATGAACTAAAGCTTTAAGGAAGCCATGTACAGGACAGTCATTCAGTGGAATAGTTTGCCATCATTTGTTAGAGAATACCTGATTTGCTTTGCTTTAAAACTGTTAAATAAGTTCCTTGTTTTATTCTCCATTCCATGTGAATTGTGTTGCGCTTATTTCATTTGCTTTTAATTTAATCAGCTGATATAATCATGAACTAGTTGTAGCTACTTTTCCCAATGGGCCCATGTTACTAACGTAACAGACAATGCTCCAGTAAATAAATACATGCATAAAAATAAACATTCAGGGCACATTTATGTTTATACATTTGGAACACTGTAGCCAGTAAAAATAAATCATTTACAGTGTGTTGAATAAGATGTAGGTTAATGAGACTTTTGTATTTATTTGTTCATGTACCATCTTTAGAACATGTCTTAAAAAAGTGGCTAACACTATGGCACTTTAAGTCTTACTAACAGAAACCTGGAGCAATTTTACCATTTGAAAAAGATAGAGAGACACAGTGTGCATGAGGAAAGAGAGACTTCCTTGACACTTCTGATATGGCCTTGATGATGTAAAGTCAACTCCTGTATTACCATGCAGAATACTGTGATGATGGGCAACGCCTGTAGGTTGGAATGGATATTTCCCAGCAGGCTTGTCTGTCCCAAGATAAATCTTCTACACATTTCACTGCCTTTCAGAAGATTTAATCTCCTTAATGCTAACACAATGACTGCAGACCAGGGATGTGTATTATCCCACTGGACTTATGTGTGAGTTTCAACTGTAATTAATAACAGTTTGAATGACAGCGAAACACAAATTTGGTTTGTCTGCTGTGGGTGTAGGGTCTGCATCAGAGTCTGGGTAGCACCCTTATCCTATATGCCTCAACATACAATTAATTTCTATACAAGCTTAGTTAATAGAACTTCTGTGATATAAAGGCTTGGATGACAGTGTAAAACACAAGAACCTCTGGCACTATGAATTCACACCCACACTCTGTGTCTGCATGTATGAATATGTTGTTTACCCTAAAAACTATACACATAGACACGCTAACAAGTGAATAGCATCTTCTCAGTCTCTCTTTGGAGACAAACTGCCCTTTGCAAACTTCATTATGACATCTCATCCATGTGATTTGGCTACATCAATGGGAAAACTCTTAAACCAAAGCTTGATTTTAAAGTTTTCTTGGTAAAGTTATTACAACTGTACAGAATGAGCACAAAAAGAAACTAATTACCTACTGACTGACAGACATACAGATATATGTTGTACATAAGTACTGTCAGCGCAGCATCAGCATGTCTTACCATCATCCACATCTTCTAAGATGTTGACTTTGGTGGTGGGATAGTGGCTTCCCAGACGTCCCCCGACAGGCATTGACAGAGTGACATTGAAGCTTTCTTCTCCCTCATATAGAGAGTCATCAATGATCATCACGCGACACTGCTTCTCCCTCTCACCCTTGTCAAAGCGAAGGATGCTGCCGTGCTTCTCTGGACGGGAGATATAGTCTGAGTACGACAGGACAGTGGTGGGAACCGTCCCTGTGGCTGACCCTTCAGAGGAGAGGCGAGGACAGTGATAGGTATGAGGAGTTTGAGGAGAAATGAAAAGGTGAACAACACTTAAAACATCTAAGTGATACATTAATAAAACATATCATAGTTGTAAAATGTCCTTTGTAAAGGGCATTTTTTAGTTTCATAAAATTCAGATGTTAAAATAGTCGTGAATTGTGAAAGCTGACCTTTAATTACAGCGACCCCATATGTTAGGTCAGCATATTAGCTTCAATGTCAGCGCACAATGGTCGTTTTCACAGGTCTCAAAACAAAATGTAGCCACTGACATTTAACAATAGTGCCTTCATTAGACTAATGGGCGAATGCATTATCACTTCATGAATTGTGTAAATGTATTTCTGAGCATTTAACTGCATGCACATAAGAGCTAAACTCTATAACTTTTCAAACATTACAAATTAAACAGCTGCAAATAAGTAATTGAAAGTAACACGTGATACTACTGAAAATGCAAATGCGGTGCTCTTCTAGTGCACTGTCTGCATTTTGAGCATTCTTACAGAACAGATGCAGTAGGTGTACCAGACACTCCACACGCACACTGATATATTAACATTACATAGGAATAAGCATAGCAGCATTAAATGGACTGAAACTTGCTATCATTCTCAGTTTGACTGGCCAGCAATTACATCTGATTCATTAGAGTTGTCTGCTGTTGTGTGCATGTGTGCTTGTTTGCATCACTAATATTTGCATACACAGCAATTAAACTGAAAGTATTATTCGATTAGCTGGGAAACATTAAATGCTAATTTTCCATCTGTACCTCTTTAATTATGCAGGTGAGCAAAACAATTATTCCCTGAGCCTTTAAATAATAACATGCATGTCTGATATGTTCATTTCGACCATCAAACCAGCAGACAGGCAAGCAGACAAAGTACACTGAGGGTAAATGGGTTAGATGAGGTGAAAAAAGGCCAGTCAATACCCTGCTGTGTGTAGCAGACCACCATGAGCTCCTGGCTAATGTCTCCACTGCGGTGCACTGGGATGAAAAGCTCCCCAACATCTTCTTCCACTGAGTGGATCTGTTCAGGGAAGAACACAGTCGACTCTGTTTGAAGGAGAAGACAAAACAATTGGAGAGAGTCAGAGGACCAGAGAAGAGGGTATTGATATGTATAACAACCTGAAAAAATCCACAGTACATTATACCATCAAGGCCTGATACAGGCTTTTGTTCTGGCTCTGCATTAGTGAGCTGTAGATGACATTTTTTATTCAGATCTATTGAAGTGGTGGTCCTGCAGTGTGCTTATTCATATTCAAAAATAACTCTCCATCACTGTGTTCGCTTTGAGGTGCTCTTCAAAGAGACCCCTCTGGAAGTTTTTCTTACTGCCTGGTGTGTCGCAGACAATTACACATAGTTCATCCCACAGAGCGTATCAGCTGGGAGTTTCGCACTTCAACTACTCTATATATCGAAGAGTCAGCCAAACCCATCTCTCTTATTTTCTTTCTCTCTTTCCCCACCCTCTCCATCTCTGAGAGGAGTTTGTGATTGAGAGGGAAACTTAGAGCCAGTGAAAGCATCATCTATCAAAACAAAGAACATACTGGCATCATAGAAACAATAAATGTTGGAGCTATTTTCCAGAGACGCATGGGGACCAATAAAAATACTAACAGAGTGGACTGAGCTTCAGCTCGGCCTAGATCTTCTTGTGTGTTTGCTCCCACTCCCACTCTCTATTTGAGGGAGTGAATGAATGATGGGAACTGCAAGACACTTGTGGCTTGCTTCTGCAACAAAAACTTGTGCTAAAAAGGCAAGCACTACAGCGTGAAAAAGTGGGGAGTTGGGGGCGATTTGGATGTTTGATTCAACACCCAGCATGAAAAAACATCAATTGATTCTTGGGATGAAGTCATAAACATAAAACAACTCTATGCACCGCAGGGGGTCAAACATTTCTCTTCTGTTACGGTAACTCTCCCTAAATTGTTCTATTTCCTCTCAATCTTCTCACTTCTCCCCAATTTCTCCTTGTTGCCCACAGTCTGTCACTCCCCAGGGGTGCATGGGGACTCATAGCAGAGGATTAGGGTTTGCTGCTTACCTATTCAACACACACAAAACCACCATACCCTGATTTCTCTCTCTCTCTCTCCACACATACTGTTGCATGCCTCCTCCCCTCACTGTTCTTTCACATTTCACCTCTCAATTTTCTTCTCTAGTGCCTCTAAATCCACCCAAGATTTAGAAAAGCAAACTTTAGTCAAATGGATCAAATTCGAAGACAAGACACAGGCATTTGTAAAACATTCATAGGAAGAAAAAAAATACATGCATTCAAAAAAGATGTTAAAATACCAAACACTTACTCATTGACTTATTTCTGTTTATGCCTAGAACTTCTCCATTATTGATAATTGCATGAATATTCAATGGATGCAGGAATATGTTGTTTCTACTGTCTGGTTATTGTTGTGACAGTTGTGCACTTGTAAAGCTGGCTATGCTGATCAGCTAAAAAGTAAATGTGAATGTAAAATAAATCAGACAGCCCTACAGCCCATGGCACTATGTAACTAAACACAGCATGACACCATGTCACAGTGTAGAGAGGCAGCAACCTCACAACATGCAGTCCCTCATTTGATGTGCTTGACATTAACGTTTATGTTTTAACTTAGACAAAGCATCTACACCTACACAATAATGCGCTTGACTTCAGCTGGCATTGTGGTTCCACACACACACACACACACACACACACACACACACACACACACACACACACACACACACACAAGCAAATACAATAGGGAAAAGAATCCATCATTTAGTGGATTGACCTTGATGCAAAATGCAGCAGCTCTACTGACAGATGCTACTACCAAAGATGTTACTGACTGTGGCAAGATGCTGGCACTGCCTCCGCCACAGAGTCAAACAGCAGTCTATCATGATCATGTTTATTCAGCACTGTGCATGGATTATATTTGAAAGAAAACAAAAGTTTTGCAGAGTATTACACCCTATAGTTTCAGAGTTTTGTTCACAGCACTAAGAGAGGGTACCACAAGCGAACGCACTACAGCACAAGCCCACTCCTTGTTATTAATCAAAACAGCAACAGGCTAATGCAGAAGGAGTGGAGAGAGCATTCACTGTTACAACTTTAAAAAACACACATTAGAGAAGAGCTCCAGGCATGCTTGCAAACAGAAACTGTCCATGGAGTTAGAACACACTCAGTTTGATGCCCTCCTATAATTTGCAACACTTTTGGTTAAAACTTAGTGATCTGCTCTCCTATTCTAAAACTCATAGTAGGCTAGCTGACATGTCCTCTACAGAGGGAACACAAAGCCAGTTTTCATAATTAGAAAAAGAAGCTGGTGTATGGCTAATGCTACAGGCATAGCTACAGCTTCAGTGGCCCATTAGAGTACAGAGTGGCACATCTCTGTCACATTGGACAGTCCCTGGAGATGACAGAAAACAAACCAGCCCTTAGCCCCTCTACGCACATCATAATTACCCACAGGAGAGAATAGACTGAAGAGGACAAATGTGTGGGGGAGATAGACAGACCAAGATGTAGTGAAAGAGAAAGAATGAGAAGACAAATGAGAGAGAGATTGATGTTATATGCCACTATAATGGAAGCATCAGTATTCCCATCTTTGTCGCACATCTATAATGACTTCAAGTTGTACTGAGGAGGGGAGAACTACATACAAAAAATAAATGTAACAGCTGCAGAAGAGTAAATCTAGCTTTAATTGAGTAGAGCAGCCAGTTTGTCGCCCTGCTCAATATTCCATTAACGTTTCAATTTGCAGGCAAAGACACAAAGAACAAGAGAGTTGAAAATGGCAGCAGGAAGTTTCAGGTCGATGCGTGTGTATGGGTAATTGTATAGCTATACACCAGTTTGACCAGTTTGAGTTTTATATCATGGAAGTAAAGACATTTAGGTTGTTCACTTTTAGCTGTGATGGTTAATGCTAGGTTAAAGGGAGAAGGAATACAGTTTATCAATGAGTGACTTCAAAAAGAAATATCCAAAAAAATACAAACGCATTCAAATGTGTTTGTGTGTGTGAGAGAGAGAGAGAGTGGGAGAAACACTTTCATGACCATTAGGTTTGACCAATGTTCTCTGGTAAACAGCTATATTTGTACTTTACAATTATACTGCCTCTTTTTGTATTATGTGGTTTTAGGAAGTAAACATTCTTCTTTGTTAATCATCTGTGCAAAAACAAACATCTTAACAAATCTCTACTGGCTGTTATGTTAAAACTGTCTTCTCCCCTTTGCCCGAGCAAAGATTTGACATGTCTCAGTATCTACAGAAGGCACTGTTTATTGACAGCTCCTCTGTGTGTGCTGCGTTGACTGATGCTTCACAGAACAAATGTGATATATGGTTAAGGGTTGCAAGCTTTTCATTGTGTTGTAACAGGAATACCTGTGTGGCAGTTGGGATTTTGTGCAGTGTGCATTAAAACGTCAGAAACTTCACCGTATCTGCATTCATATTTGTTTTTTCAGATGGACAAAGTAAAAATTCCTCTGTTTCAGATGGATTTCATTAACTTGTACTTTCAATACTGCATATGTCTTGTCCATAGAGACTGTGCTGGATTTTTGTTTTTAATAATAGATATCACATCAAACTGAAGCACAAAACTGAATCAAAACATTTGCAATGGATAATAGAGAATAAATAAATACAGAATAATTTTATTCTTCATACAGTTCTTTATAACCAGTTTGTTTCAGTTGACACACAGTCACCAATCAAGTTGCATATAGGAACTCTCTACAGAAAACAATGGGCATCCCTGTTATATATGACTGTTGCCACATATTATTATTATGCTTCTGGATTCACTATATAGATTTTTTTTTCTTGGGCAGAAACGAAATGTGACTAAATGTAAAATAAATAAATAAACAGTCTACTGTTCCTTGTAACTGTGGACAATAATACCTCCATCATGTTGCCACCACTGGCAGGAGAAGTAATCAGTCAGAATGTTACTGGATAACAACCATGTATGCATTAATACTGTATGTAAGCAGCACTTTAATAGAGAACACTGGGCATATTGTAACTACTTCATATACTGCTGGGAAGCTTAATCTATAGCATTACATAATTTATGAGTTACTATATATATATTGTGTTAATATTTTGAATCTATGAAGTAAATTGTAAATGTTATGGAGTGAAAAGTGTGATATTTGCTCCCTATAATGTAATGGAGTAGAAACATTAAGCACAACAAGTACCTCAAATTTGTACAGTATTTGATTAAATGTACCTTGTTACTTTCCACCACTGGATGTCATCACTACAGAATTATCAACAGTGCAGGCTATATTGAGAGCATGTGCAGTACTGACCATCACTGGGATCCAGTATCTCCACTGTTGCTCTGTTAGGAAACTCCATCACTCCCATTACTGGATCCAATAGCAAAATCTCAAAGGTCTCCGCCTTCTCATACTTCCCATCAGTCAGGATCCAAACTCGCCACGTGACTCTGGTCTGTCCTGGGTTGAACTGGACTTGCCTCTTGGACTTACCTTTAAAATCATCCTCCTTCTTTGCACTCCCATCCTGGGTACCAATGCCTGAAGGATACAGACAATGACAGATGTAAAGAAAAAGACAAGTAGAGTAGGCCAGATGTGTAAAAAAAAAAAAAAAAAAAAGACAGACAGACAGAAAGACAGAAGTGGAGACAAACAAAGACATGGACCATGAAAGGGTGACAGGCAGGAGAAAGAAACAGATTAGATATTCACACCCTTTAATGTTGTTCAGAGAGTGGTGTGAAAATGAGTACTGCGTCTCTTTTCTTCACTGATCACTTATAGAGCCTCAGGAATGTGTGAAATGGATTTGTGACTGAAGCGTTTAAAAATCATTTTCAACTTAGTGAGATGAATTAGCTACCATAGCTGTTTCCATAGCGTTACAGTAGGTATGTGAATGTGTTGGTGAGTGTGCGTATGTGTATCCCCCTTCTTTTCTCTCCCAAATGTCTGTTATTTCATTCATAATACGTCTTTCATGTGAATCCACTTTAGAGCGATCTTTCTAACATTCATGCTCATCAATACACCTTCTTCAAAGGAGGAGAGGTAACTGGTACCACTGGGTTTCACATCAAACGCACATCAGCAAAACCCATGTGGCACAAGCCATACAATAATGTATTACATTTGCTGAAACAGGCTGTTCATATCTCTTTGTCTGCGTTCACAGTGCCACATGAGAACAAGGAGAGCAGATCCATTCCAGGCTGGTGCATGTGCCTGTAAATAAAAAGGTTTTTTCCCCTGCACAAACAGAACAGAAAAAGGTGTCAAACACATGCAGTTGAGGATGGATATATTAGGTCATGCACAAAGTAAGATTTGAGAGGTGAGCATTGTATGCAAATTCTACTCTGGAAATAACCACACATGCAAGAATGCGAACCTTTGCACAGTCACTTTCACTCGTGTTGCTGTACCTGTGAGGACCTTCAATCACAGACCCCATAAGAGGTGAGAAATAGTGTAATCAAAGCCTCAAGGTTATTAGAAATATCTTTTGATGTTCAGCTTTGCCTTTATTTTATTGCCAGTTTTGTTTTTATCAACTGGTCAAATATTGAGGCATAGTAATTGGGGTTGTTTGACCACAACAGATATTTCAGATGAGTACCAACAGCAGCGGAGACGGTTTCTGGACCAATTTCAACAACAACAATATTACATATAACACACTCATTCACCTCATTTTTGTCAACAACCCTGCACACCAACACACCAAAGCATTCTCATCCCTCAACTTTCTGTTTCTTTTTTCTCAACACAAAAAATAATGATGCTGTTTTTGCTTGCTGCAACTGCATGAATATGACATGGGGAAAAAAATCGACTTCTTTTAGAGCTGCTCACTGGCTTTCTGGGAAATGCAAACCATGATTAACAGACGTTCAGTCAGTACAATTCCTGCTTCACGTGCTTCCTTAACCTGGGTCAATTTTCTGATGTAAGGGTTGTACCAAAATAGTGGGCACATTAGAAATGTGAATTTACAATATTTTATCATGAAATAGCTGCATTCTTGATCAAAACTAGTTACACACTTTTGGGAATCAAAGAAAACAATAAAATGTCACCAATAACTGCACATTAGTAAGCTTCTGTCAGGTTTTCCCAGCTGCACCTGCCTCTTTCACCTCCCTCACTTTTGTTTCTTGGCGTCGGCCCCTGATCACCACACCTGCTCCACACCCCTTGATTGTCACCAGCTGCACCTCTTTAGTCCTGCCCTTATTTATACCCCGCTTTCCTGTCACTTCCTTGCCAGTTCATTTACGTTCTCAGGCCCTCACGTTGTCTAACCCTTTGTCTGCCTTATTCCTGTTCAGTGTGTTTTGCACGGCCTCAATGATAACATCAAGGCCGAATTAAACACCCAGAACAAGCCCCCTGACCTCCGCTCCCTAGTTGACTTGGCTATCTGGATTGACAGACAACAATGTTTTTCCGTAAGGAAAGAGCAGGGCAGCAGTCGGCCACATGGACCCACTGCACGCCATTACATCCAGTCGAGGCCCAGGGCTCTCTCCGCATGGGGGGGGACCAATACAAACTCCTCAGGAAGAATGGAAGAACCCATGGAACTAGGGCGTGCCCGTCTGGACCCCGAGGAATGGGCCCACCGCATCCGCACCGGGTCTTGCCTGTACTGTAGGGCCCCAGATTATCGTATTGCCACCTGCCCGGTGCGGCTAAAAGAGCGGGCCCGCTAGTGAAGGTAGGGACACTGACGGGCCGCCCCTCCACCTCCACCAGGCTGGGTATTAGCTGCCTTCTCCCCGTGCTCCTAGAGACCACTGGTCAAACTTCCTCCCACCAAGCACTCCTGGATTCCGGAGCCGGAGGTAATCTTATGGACCCAGCCCTGGTGGAGCAGCTGGGCCTTGCCCCGGAACTTCTACCCCATGCTGTAGAGACCCGGGCTATCAACGGCCGGCTGCTGGCCCTCATCATTCATCAGACTCCACCTCTTCGTCTCACCATCGTCGGCAATCACCATGAGGACATCAGTTTCAACATCTCCTCCATCCCGGATACGCCACTGGTATTGGGTCACTCCTGGCTGGTCCAACACAATCCCACTGTAGACTGGACCACCAGCACCATCACACAATGGAGTCCCACCTGTGCATCAGCCTGTCTCCTGGCTGGACAACCCACCACATCATCTCCTCCTTTACCTCCAGAACTGCCTGATCTTTCCTCCATCCCTTCGGATTACCACGACTTGCAACAGGTGTTTAACAAACACCTAGCCACTGACTCTCTTCCTCCCCATAGGCTGCATGACTGTGCCATTGACCTGTATCCGGGAGCCACCTTGCCCAACAGTCGACTTTTCCACATCTCGAAACCCAAACGGCAGGCTCTCGAGGAGTATATTGAAAGAATAAGCATGTGCTTAGGTTGAATGGTGACTCTAAATTGTCCATAGCAGTGAGTGTGGGTGGTTGTTTGTATACATGTCGGCCCTGTGATAGACTGGTGACCCGTCCAGGATGTACCACGCCTCTCGCCGAATGTCAGCTGGGATTGGCTCCAGCCCCCCGCGACCCTATTCAAGAATAAGCGGTATAGATAATGGATGGATGGAAATAGTTATTTGAAACAACTGGCCAGGGAGGATCCCTACTCTGCTAAAAGTCTAAAACAGTCAGGTTCTTTTGCACAAAGAGAGGGAGACAAAGAAATAATAAAACCCTTTTTCATATGTAGAGCATTAAAAGCAGCCAAAGGACTCAAATTTGATTAATATGTGGCACTCTGCCTTCTAGATGTGTTAGCACCTAAAACTAATGTATTTGTTTTGATAACAATAGCAACCTAATATGGCCATTATTTGTTCTATCTCTGTATTGAACTAATATGATTTCAATTTTATACTAATTCAAGCTTTGTGTAACATTAGCAATAACCAGAACATTCTACTGGATTGACAAATGTACTTGTTAGTCAGCTAATGCAAGATTTCAACTGAAGGGTGACCTTTGTACAGTTTGTTGCAACCAGGCATCCAGAGTTTTCTTTGTTGCTAAGGATTTCTGATTGCAGGTACCTTTCTGCTCGTTATATGAAAAAGAACATTTCAGATCTAGACTGGGTGTAGTGGAGAAAAAAAGGTTTCTATTATCTGCTAGTGAAATAAATTTAACTTTCCAACCTGTTAAGTAGTAATAATGAGCCTGGAATACATCCTGCAGGAGATGATATATTTTAAACTGGTAAAAGTACATCTTAACAGTGATTTATTCATATATCAGGCCTGACCAGAAATGGACTGTGTAGAAAGGGG